GCGCGCGCGCGCGCGTGCGCTTGGTGGAGGGAGGTGGGCAGTCAATTACGAGTGAGATCGTTACTAGACAACATGCTTAACTCATTCTGAAGTGGGTAGGTAGTTAAGAAAAAACAACAACAACAAACAACCAGATGTTTAAAAAGTCACTGAGATAGACGGGACAATAAAAGCGCTTTGCATTTCAGCTCGAAGTACAATGTGTATTTGCATTTACTGTAATATTTTACGCCCCACCTGAATCATTTAGGAGGCGGGCAGCTACGACCGAGTGGAATATTCCATTTTTAAAACGTACTCCCGGCTTGGATATCGACACAAGCCCTCTGTTTGCGACGACAAAGCGCCCTAGCTTGACGTTACACAAGAGAAGCTGGTACTAAACTTCGTTTGTAGGCTTATGTATCAATTCAGCCTGTAGCAAATCGCGTCTCTTTTTTTGCTCGCAATTATGAATGTATTTACCTCCCCGGGTGTAACGGAAAAGCAGACAGACTAATTCTGTGGGTGGTCGGGATTAATTATCACTTACGTCAATCGATCTGGACCACTTAGTGGGTTATCGATTTGTGGTATTATATTCAGAGATCCTTCAAAGATTCCCTCCTGTGTATACCATTGATCTTACAGGACAGTCTTCTGAGGTCCTGAGGTGCGACTACTTGGACGCCACTGGTAGGTCCTTCTTTTTTTCCCCTTCTTTTCTTTACATTCGTCGTTCTTCTTTTCTTTTCTTTTCATTCGTTCTTTCTGTCTGTCTGTCTCGCTTACTATTTCTCTGCACTAAACGACCGCTATGGTGTTGATGAACTTCTCTTTGCTCGCGCGAGAAAAAGGGAGACCCCGGCAACTTTCTTTTCATTTGAGTTGATGTACCCGGTCATTGACCAGAGCGTGGAGCCTACCTATGTAGTATAGTAGTTGGGATCTTGGTCGTCGCAAGCAACAGACATGAGTTCGATTCGGGGGCCCCGGAAAGGGAGGGAGATGGGGGTATTTTTTAAAACAATATTTCCGTATGTTTGCTGAGATGCAGTATTCTAGGGCATGATCGGCCCTGACAGGAAGGGTGGCGTTCGTGTGTGAGGGTGGATGGATCCGGGTAGTGGCCGTGGGGGGGGGGATGAGGATGTTCGTGAATGGCCATTGCTGAGCAGTGTGTTTCTCATTACTTAAACAAACAACCGAACGAACAAACAGGCAAATAGACAAACAAACAAACAGACGTGACGAACTTACCGAAGAAAATCTCCATAAAGAAGACAGGCCTTGAGGCCAGCATGTCCACTCTCCACCATCCAGTTCGGTTACTGGATGACGTCACACATGTGCCAAGGTCTCCGTCGACGGCACGAGCTCCTTTTGACCAATCAGATGTCTTCATGTCAGTGGGCATTCCCAGAACCACATTTTCTGGAGATTAAGTATGATGGGTTTAGGTTTAGTTGGGGTAAAACGAAGCATATTATGATAACAAAGGTTATTTAGTATAAGGATAAACAAACTTAAACAGGCATAGAGAAAATACAGGTAATTTATTGCAGGGAGAGACAGGCAAAAACAACAGAGGGTAAGAAAAGAAGTAAGACTTTCCTGTGGCGTCTCAACCCATCACCATGAAGTATGAAATATGCTGAAATGATTTATTACAAACAATTGCAAGCTCGTGATTCTGTTTCATCCTGATCAAGTCGTGAGCTGACTGATATCCAGTTTTTACTCTACTTTCAAACTTTGAGAGTTTTCGCCACAGCTGGCAAAATTGTCGAAAAATCTTCTTTCTGAACCCCAATATTTAGACGGTTAATGCTTGTTTTGAGTAAAACGTAAGTATTTTTTTCTCTTTTGACTACTGATTTCGTTACTGGAAGTGTAATGTTGTTATAGCCCCCGAAAAAGGAGATAAGGCAGACCCGAGTTCTTCGCTGTCCACCTGTCACTGACAGGTCTTCTCTTCTACAGGGGTAAGGGGGGGGGGGGGGGTTCTGTTCGTTGCTGTCACGTATATTACTTCACTCTCTACAATATTTCTGCCTCTCACCTTCCGTTTCAAAAAGCAAAACAAAACCCCTGGTGTGTCTGTGTTTGACTCTAACGTCGTCTAAAAACTTTAAACGTATTAAAGTCATTAAGCTCACGATGGAAAAAACTGCTGCCATCATCGTATTGCATACTTTTTACACTTTCCTCTGGCTGATCCTAACAAATTTTATGCGAAATTCAAAAATCTATGTATGAGTAAATTGTTCTGCCCACAGGCAGCCTGCTTCCTCTGTATCCCGCTATCTTCGAACTGTCATGCTATAATAATTTCTAGAGAGATTTTTCCCTACACTGCCATAGGTCGATAAACTTCCATACAAACTATTCCAATTTGTGCGTCATTGTGAAACTCGAAAAACAGAAGACACTACAAAAGAGAGAAAGAAAGACTCAGTGGGCAGGCAGTCAGGACAAAAAGAAGCAAATGCATGAAATAATTTGAAATAAAGGATGTAAAAAAAACCAAACTCTAGAAACATCTGACAAACAGCCAAGACGCCAAAAAAAAGAATTTTCTCTGTTACAAAAAAAGCGTAATAAAACAAAATGAAACGAGTCGGAAACATGACAAGTGACGCGTTACACAGAGAGTCTTTGACATGACGGGATCGTGGCACTTCATCGACCGGCCCGTCACAGCGAGCGGTACTTCCGTCTTTCTGCGCATGTCACTCTGTGCGAACACCGGAAGCCTCGCATGTCGTCGTCTGAGCAGACAAGCAGACGAAATCATTTCCCAGACGACATAGTAGTAGCAGTAGTAGTAGCCAACAGCCTACACATGAGGCAATTTAGCCCGTTTCCCTTTCAAGCTTATTGCAACACTTCTGCAGAGTTCAATTTTTCAAAGGGCTTGAAGCATTTTCTCAAAGCAATAACGTTTCTTTATGTTTTTTTAGTCTTGATCTGCGCTTTTGGGATAGGACGCATGGAATATTGTCAAGGACCACAGTATTTGTTTTAGTACTCGCAGAAATGAGCTTTGCCCAGAATTCAAAGGGCTCACTTTATTCCAGTATGTCGCAAGCTGGCCTACGGTGCGGATGAATCTGACTCGAACCCAGAAATGAACGTTCTTGAACTTGTATTGCTTTGGGCCGTTTGGGGGGGGGGGTATTTCAGGCTGAGTGGTATAAACGACAGATGCTAAATTCTGAGGTCAAGCCTCTAAATAATAATACAGGACTCTTTAACCTATACAATTAATTGTAAACTTCTAAAATTTTCTTTTTGTGGTCTTTTCTACCACCAGCTAACTATAGTTAGTTCTATTGCGGTGATCGTAGAGGCTGTTTTTGTTAAACGTCTTTGATTTTTTTTTAAAGTAAAGAATTAAATCATATCGATTTCGTAAGTGGTTTGAAACGTTTCAGCGTAGTCTACAGAAGGTATAGAATATAAGCATGAAAAGATGAGGTTTCAAACTGCTGTTTTTCTTTCTTCTGAGAGATGGTGGAAAGAAAGAGGAGGGAGGGGGTGTACCATTTCAAGTCAGATGCCAAAGAACTATAATAAAATATTCTCTTGGAAACTGTTACAACAGCAGTTAGGGTGAACAAGGGAGAGAAATCTCTGTCATAAGTACTTGCTTGGAAAGTCGTCTAGCTTAGTATTTATTTGAGAAAAGCCACGGAACATACTTTTTCTTCGTTTCTACAGTGAAATACCAACATACCTTGCATGGATAGATAGATAGATAGATAGATAGATAGATAGATAGATAGATAGATAGATAGATAGATAGATAGATAGATAGATAGATAGAAGTCCACCCCATCTCACCCCACCTCACCCCTTCCTACACCCAAACTCAAGCATTTCTGTCTCCCCACCCCCACACTTCCACTCCACCCCACCCCCATTCCCTCCACCCATCCTTCACCCATCCCCCACCCCCACCGTCTACCCCAAACACGCGCTGAACAAACCTGTCAACTGCTGAATTATACAAGGCTTTAAATGGCCTCAACACAGTACCACCATACCACAGCTGAGGAAAAAAAATGTACGGACGTCTAAAAATGGAAAAGGTTTCGATTTCCTTCCACCTCATCTGTCTGTGTCGGATTCGCTGGTGGGGAAACCTAACATTTCCCCTCGTCCAGCACCTATCTTTGCCCGGGATAGCTTCCCTGACACCAGGTCCGTGACGTCATCAAATGTCGTGGTAGTCTCACACCGTGCATCACTTTCTGCGTAAATTGTTGCTTTTAGTTCCATGAGTTTTTTAAAGTTTGTTTTGTGTGTGTGTGTGTGTGTGTGTGTG